GTCCAATTAATTTCTTTCTATTTTTGGTAGAGACGGGGTCTCGCTCTTGCTCAGGCTGGTCTCGAACTCCTGAGCTCAGAACGATCCGCCCACCTTGGCCTCCCAGAGTGCTAGGATTACAGGCGTGAGCCACCGCACCCGGCCTATAAATCCAAATTTTAATAGATGTATTTACGTTAAGGGAGGTGGACCAATAAGTCTTACAGTTTTTCTGATAATTACAATGGAAGATGGGCCATGTTCAAAAAACTTCTATTAAAAGATTTGCTTTCAACCAAAGTATCCCTTTTATAAATTGAATTCGTTATTTGGACATTATCTACATGGCAGACCTTTTTATATAAAATGAAGCAGATGACTTTTCATTTTTCATATTGAATACAATACAGAAGGATGAATGATTTGAAGCCACCTCAAACTGCATTGTTTTCATCGTATGTTTGTGATGTAGTGTTTTCCCTACAAAAGAGCAGCAGTCATGCTTAAAGTGGAATATATAATCCAAATTATACCCTAATCATGAACTTTTCCCCATTATTTTAGATAATGAGGTGTTTGGGTCTTTATTTTTTTAATTATATATTTTCGTGTGTATTGACAGTGGTGGCAAGTTTTCAGCACTACTTCAGAATTTAGGCCCTGAAAATGCTGTGACACTACTGGTGTTTGCAGTAACAGAACATAAAATTCTCATCCATTCCTTACGACCTTCCGTGCTTACAAGTGTGACAGAAGCATTAGTGTCTGTGAGTATCACAGTTTCTTATTGGCAACAAATTTAGTTTAAACTTAACTTATTCATGTGATTCAAAACTATTTTAATGCTTAACTAAAATTTAGAGAGTAATAAACTTTTGTTTTGCAAAAGCAATTTTAATTTCCTAACCATTAACTCTAGTTATGATTAATTAATTATCAAGGATTAGATTTCAAGGAATAATATTCAAAAGACAATTTTTTGTGTGTGCTAATAAATTATGCTTCAGTGTCAAAAAGCTAAATATTCTCCTACATTTTGTTTATCCAAGATGATTTTCCCTTTCCACTGGCCTTGCCCGTATGTTCCTCTCTGCCCACTGGCTTTGGCAGATGTCTTGAGTGCACCATGTCCATTCATAGTAGGAATTGATTCAAGATACTTTGATCTTTATGATCCTCCACCAGATGTCAGTTGTGTTGACCTAGACACCAACACTATTTCTCAGTAAGTACATTTTAGTGACTCTATACCCCATAATTTATAACTTTATAGTATATGTAATTTTATATTTTGTGATTGCAAAGTAGGATTCTTTTGAGATATTGTCTTCTTTGTATTTGGGGTTATTACCATCTTTGAATCAGCCCTTATTCTGCTTCAATGGAGTAAATTTAGGGTATTAAAGGTTTTATTGGAAAGAAAATATACTTTTGATCTTAGACTTTAAATATTTAAGAAACT